TGGATCCGGGGCTGATATCAAGATGGTGATAAATCACTTGCCCCAAGGGCAATTTAAAGACAACAAGATGTGCAACAGCTGCTGAGATAGAATAGTTATAATGGTCTTTCTTTGTGTATATTTATATACATACCTTTGTACATGGAGACAATGTGATGTAAGATCTTGTATGAATTCAATGCATGCGATTGTCCTTCATGACATTATTGTCTCTACTGAATTTGTTTTTATTACAGTCTCCATCTATGATATTTTCATCTAGTACTTTTTTGTTGTTTTGATAGATAGATGGATGCTAAATAATTTATTTAGCTCTCATTGTCTGATATTTTATATGAATAAAATATACTGATTTTTGTGTGATTTTGTTGTCAGCACATTCAACTTTGTACAGGACAAAATATTCAAAGAGAATATTTCCTTAATTCAGATCTAGGATGTGTTATTTGAGTGTTCCCTTTATTTTTTTGAGCAGTGTGCATTACCTAAAAAGTGGACGTCTTACCTTTTTATTGCTTTTACTGGAAGGTTTGCAAAGGTAGAAGGTAAAATGGATGCAGTAAAATATAAGGAAATTCTAAGGTACTATTTGTTTAAATTTGCAAGAAAACAAAAGCTTTAGAGAATATTTACTTCCCTGCCAAACAACAACCAAAAGCATCACATAAATGGTTTAAGGGCAAGGTGGATGTTCTGGAGTGACCTAGTCAAAGCCCAGAATCCAATCTGATAGAGAATTTGTGCCAGGACTTGAGCAATAGAGGAAACCTGTGGGGTCCAAACTGCAAGCCTGATTTAGACCTGTCCCCACAGATTCAATGCTGTAGTTGCTGCCATAAGGGAATCTACTAAATAGTGACTTAAAGGGGTGAATATTTATGCACTTACCCATTTTATGTTACCTATTTCTATTTGTCATTTTGTAAAACTCAGTTTTCACTTTGACTGATCATAATTGATTTGTAAAAGCAATAAAAATTGTAACCATCCAAGAAGATGAATACTTTGTACAGCCACGGTAACTTGAAGATCTGAATGAATGAATGAATGTCCTTTTAGGACATTCATTCATCGCTGAATGTATGATAAACAGTATCAAGACCTTCACCAGGATGTTTGACCAGTACAACGAGTTATCAGTTGTCTACTTTCAGTTTAAGATGTTCCCAGTCTTTAAAGAGCCTCACTTACAGCCCATCTATAATTAACACAGAGAATTAAAGCAATGCTTACATTTTTAGTGTCAAGATGGTCATAGAAAACAACATTACTTTAAACTAGGATGGTAAAACACCAGTTAGATATTCCAAATAGTAACAGCCTTTTCATGTACAATGAAATAAAATTGCGTGGCAATACACAATCATCCAGTTCTCCCAGTCAAGAAAAAAACATACAACACAAACCAAAGAATTTCCAAGAAATGCCCTTGTTTATTATCAGTCAGACTTGTTTCCAGAAAAAACCTTTATAAGCTCGTAAGCTACTTTTATAAGTAAAGCCTATAAAAGTAAAGCTTTAGTTAGCTTTACTTTTAATAAGTAAAGCTTATAGAGCTTCTGAAAGCTCTTTAAGCTTTTATAAATAAAACTTATAAAAGTTTTATAAGATTATACAACAAAAGCTTAGAAAAGCTCTAAGGAAAGCTCTATAAATGCTTTACTTTTAGAGCACTTGTTATACACAAAGGCAGCACATAGAACAACTGCAGCGATCTGTTGTATTCTTGTATGGATGGTGACGTCTCTTGGATTTTCCAGGCTGTCAACAGAGGGTGCAGATGATCACTGCAGGATGGACCTGAGAGATGGCTTCATCCTGGACAGGTCGCCAGTCCATCACAGAGCAACGCAGGACAAACAATCATGCACACACACACACACGCACACACACACACACACGCACGCACACACACACACACACACACACACACACACAACTGGCTCCTCTTGATGTGGAGGAGCAGCGGCTCTACTCTGAGTCCCTCCCGGATGACCAAGCTTCTCACCCTATCTCTAAGGGAGAACCCAGCCACCCCACGGAGAAAACCCATTTCGGCCACTTGTATCTGCGATCTTGTTCTTTCGGTCATGACCAAAACTCATGACCATAGATGAGGGTAGGAACGTAGATCGACCGGTAAATTGAGAGCTTCGCTTTTTGACTCACCTCTCTCTTCACCACGACGGACCGGTACAGCGCCCGCTTCACGGCGGACGCCACGCCAATCCACCTGTCGACCTCCCGCTCGCTTCTTCCCTCATTTGTGAACAAGATCCCAAGATACTTGAACTCCTCCACTTGGGTAGGACATCTCCCTCGACCCGGAAAAGGCACTCTACCCTTTTCCGACTCAAGACCATGGTCTCGGACTTGGAGGCACTGATCCTCATCCCGGCCGCTTCACACTCGGCTGCGAACTGCTCCATCGAGAGCTGCAGATCACGTCCCGATGAAGCCAATAGGACCACATCATCTGCAAAAAGCAGGGATGCAATCCTAAGGCCACCAAAACAGATCCCTTCAAAACCCTGGCTGCACCTAGAAATTCTGTCCATAAAAGTAAAGAACAGAATCGGTGACAAAGGGCAGCCCTGGCGGAGTCCAACCTTCACCGGGAACGAGCCCGACTTATTGCCGGCAAAGCGGACCAGACTCTGATACCGGTCATACAGGGACCTGACAGCCCGTATCAAAGGGCCCAGTACCCCATACTCCCGGAGGGACACGGTCGAACGCCTGCTCCAAGTCCACAAAGCACATGTAGACTGGTTGGGCGAACTCCCATGCACCCTCCAGGACCCTGCTGAAGGTGTAGAGCTGGTCCAGTGTTCCACAACCAGGACGAAAACCACACTGCTCTTCCAAAATCCGAGGTTCGACTATCCAACGGACCTTCCTCTCCAGTACTCTCGAATAGACCTTGCCAGGGATGCTTAAGAGTGTGATCCCTCTATAATTAGAGCACACCCTCCGATCCCCCTTTTTAAACAGGGGGACCACCACCCCAGTCTGCCAATCCAGGGGAACTGCCCCCGATGTCCATGCGATACTGCAGAGTCGCGTTAACCAACACAACCCTACAACATTCAGAGCCTTAAGATACTCCGGGCGAATCTCATCCACCCCCGGGGCCCTGCCACCGAGGAGCTTTTTAACTACCTCGGCGACCTCGTCCCCAGAGATTGGAGAGCCCAACCCAGAGTCCCCAGGCTCAGCTTCCTTAATGGAAGGCATGTTGGTGGGACTGAGGAGGTCTTCAAAGTACTATGCCCATCGGCCCACAACGTCCCGAGTCGAGGTCATCAGCACACCGCCCCTACTGTGAACAGTGTTGGTACTACACTGTTTCCCCCTCCTGAGACGCCGGATGGTGGACCAGAATCGCCTCGAAACCATACGGAAGTCTTTCTCCATGGTTTCTTCGAAGTAGCTCCCATGCCCGAGTTTTTGCCTCAGCAACCACCAGAGCCGCAAGTCGCTTCGCCTGCCGGTACCCGTCAGCTGCTTCCAGAGTCCCACAGGCCAAAAAGGCCCAAAAGGACTCCTTCTTCAGCCTGACAGCATCCCTCACCGAAGGTGTCCACCAACAGGTTCGAGGGTTGCTACCACGACAGGCACCGACGACCTTGTGACCACAGCTCCAATAAGCCGCCTCCACAGTGGAGGCACGGAACATGGTCCACTCAGACTCAATGTCCCCCGCCTCCCCCAGGACGTGTTCAAAGCTCTGCCGGAGATGGGAGTTAAAGCTCCGTCTCACAGGGGACTCTGCCAGACGTTCCCAGCAGACCTTCACAATACGTTTGGGCCTGCCAGGTCTGACCGGCATCCTCCCCCACCACCGGAGCCAACTCACCACCAGGTAGTGGTCAGTGGAGAACTCCGCACCGCTCTTCACCCGAGTGTCCAAGACATACGGCCGCAGATCCGACGAAATGATGACAAAATCGATCATCAAACTGCGGCCTAGGATGTCCTGGTGCCAAGTGCACATATGGACACCTTATGCCTGAACATGGTGTTCGTTATGGACAATCTGTAACGAGCACAGAAGTCCAGCAACAGAACATCACTCGAGTTCAGATCGGCCACACCCCTCCAGGTCTCACTGTCATTTGAGACCGTCATTTTTTCTTGTTTGTTCTAAAGTAATAAATGAAATGACATCAGACTCATGTGGTGCTTTATTAGGACAATCAAAGAGGATTTTACATGAAATCAGACATTTCCATTCAAGCACACATTCACACACTAATAATAGCACTACCTGGGGAAGTCTAACATGACATCTAAAGTAAGATTACATATTCTTTAATCATCCCAGCAATTAAAGAATTAGTCCTGAATTGCTAGACTAAGTGCATACATAACTACTTCAGTTATTATTCCACAAGCACAAACATACATGGCTAGTGGTGTTTATTTTTCGTTTCAAGAACACCACTGAGCTCATTAACAGAAATGTACTTTAAGTAGTTGTGGATCTCCCTCTGCAGCTATCCAGGTGTACATGTGTAATATGTGATAAACAAAGGTGCTGTGATATCAAATCTGGACAATATAAATAACTGTCAACCAAAACTAATGCTATTTTTGGAGGATTCATGTTTAACATCACCTTTAGTTCCTCTTATGCAATGTGCTGACCTCTGAGCACTTTATAACTTGCATATAATTTAGCTCTCTTGTTTATTGGATTGAAAAGTAAAAATGTTTTTTAGTCTGAAATATAAACTACACCTAGTCTATAAAACAACTTAATTTTATTACTCTGCTTGAACTAATGCATTTACCTGAAGTTACAGCTGTATGACTTTCCTGCTGCTCTGTTTTGTTTTGTTCAAACTGAATGTGTCACAGATGACATTCATAATAATCAAGACGCCATTTCGTTGAAGGGTTGGACTTTCTGTCAGTCCTGCCCAGTAAGAGAAGATATAAATATCTACCTGAAACACCTGCCTCTCAGTTCCTGATTCTTTTCCTCTGCACAACCTGCAGGATCTCTTCCAGCAATGGGGGAATCTTACATTATAAGCATCGACTTTGGAACAACATACAGTGGATATGCCTTCAGTTTGACATCCAGAGAAGAAGAAGTAGATCCACATGTGAAGTTTTGGGGTGAAGAAGTTGGACTAGAAACCCCAAAGACTCCAACCTGCATCCTGTTTGATGAACATCAACAATTTGTCAGCTTTGGATATGAAGCTAAAAACTCTTATTTAAAACAATCAGGCAAAGATGGCAGAGCAATGTTCTTCTTTGATTGCTTTAAGATGTCGCTCTACGACAAAGTGAGTAATAAATATTTATCAACAATTATATATTTGAGTTTTGTAATCTATTATAAATCACTGTAACACATTTTCTATCTTACATTATCATTAGAATGTTATGCCTGCAAAATATATTTTTTAAATTTAATTCAAACCATTAAACTACATTTTAATATCTTACAATACTTTTAAGATATTGAAACAATATGTAAATAAAATTCAGGCAGTGCATGGGTTTTCTCTTCAGAATGATGGTCTCTATATGCTTCTATTCATTGAAATAATATAATTATCAAATATCTCTAGAAAATCACCACAGATCTGACAATTAAAGCAGCCAATGGGAGGGAAATGAAGGCTCTGAAGGTTTTTGCAGAAGCTTTAAGATTCCTGAAAGAAGACGCTCTGAAGACGATCCAACAAAACACTGAAGGAGTCACCTTCACAGCCTCTGACTTCACCTGGGTTCTGACGGTTCCTGCCATCTGGGATCATTCAGCTAAACAGTTCATGAGAGAAGCTGCAACTCAGGTAAAACCCAGAGACTGTTAGACACCTCAGTGGTAACATTATTACTGTTATTACTGTTTCAAAATATGAATTTTCTCATTGCTTTCAGGCAGGAATTGTAACAGAGGGAACTCAAAACAATCTGGTGTTTGCTCTGGAGCCAGAAGCAGCTTCAGTTTACTGTAAGAAACTACCATCTGAGGGTTTCATAGCAGAAAACCGGGGTGAAAGCAAACTGGACCAATCTCCAGGAACTCAGTACATCGTTGTTGATTGTGGAGGTATGACATTGGTGGCTGTTTTAAATAAATATGATGATTTTTAAAAAATAAAATAAACTGGTTGAAGTGGCATGCACAGCGTTCCAATATTTTATTTCTGCAAGGTAACAGTGTGACCAACTGTATCACCAGTTTGAATCTCCGTCACCTGGACCTTTCTACATGGAGTTTGCATGTTCTCCATGTGCATGTGGAAATTCTCTCCAGAGTATAAAAGCACGACTGCTGGCTTTACTGGTCTCTCTAAAGTGTCTCTGAATGCATGTTTGATCTTTCTGTCTCTGTTTTCCCCTGTGATAAACTGGTGACTGGTGGAATAGGCACCAGCTCCCATTTCAACTCTGAAAGAACAAGATTATTCAGATAATGGATGGATAAATGGAGAGAAAGTCGGGATAATTATTTATGACAGTAGAAATGTATTCTGGAAAAGCAGTTACTCAACATTTTGGTGGTTAGAATAAGTGTCACTTACTTTGCTTATTATAGTTCTTTGGGTCACGTTTTCTGAGGAAACAGTTTAACATTCACCAAAAATATTGACATTGTTTTTATGATTGAATGAAAAGTCCTTTTGCACCTCTTACTTTCCTCATAATCCCCCAGGAAGTTTGACTATTGAATTTAAGAGAGGGACTCCTCCAAAAGTTGCAGGACTCTTGCAATCGTTTGAATATAGTTTGAGATCATTAATGCGAAAACTTCCATTTTATGTGTTTCAGGAGGAACCATTGACATCACTGTTCATGAAATCCTTGAAGGAGGATTTCTGAAGGAGCTGCACAAAGCCTGTGGGAACGACATGGGAGGACAAACTGTAGACAGGAAATTTAAAGAGTTCCTCAGAGAGACATTCTCTCCTGAAATCTGGGACGAGTATGAAGTAAAGTATCCCAGTGAGGTTAGAAGAATTATGTATGACTTCACACTTTTCAAGAGAAAAGATGAAGATATGGAAATAACCTGTCCATATAATCTAGGAATGATGGCACAGAAAAAACAGGACATGGAAGAATACTTTAATCGAGTTCAAGGAGCATCTTATGATGAGGGATCAATCAAAATATCCAAACACAAACTGAGATCTTTCTTTGAAAAGAGTCTGTGGAGCATCAGTAAGAGCCTAAGAGAAATCTTTTCCAAAACCCGAAGCATTAAATACATTCTGTTAGTGGGAGGTTTTGCTGAAAGTCAGATTCTACGGAGGTACATTACTGATGAGTTTATTGACAACTGCAAAGTGTTGTGTCCTTTTAGGCCCCAAGAAGCCATTGTAAAGGGAGCCGTAGAGTTTGGAAGAAACCAAGGGGCAGTGGCATCAAGAAAAAGTGCCTATACTTATGGAGTAGATGTTTCAAAGACGTTTAAGAAGTTGAAGCACAGGGAGGACAAAAAATACACAAGCAAAGATGGTGTCGTCAAGTGTGCTGACCTTTTTTGCAAACTTGTTGAAATAGATGAGGATGTTGGTTGGAATGAAACCAGAAAGCATTCCTTTAGTCCCGTAGAAAGTGACCAAACGCAAGTGAATTTTGTATTTTATCGCACAAAGAAAAACAATCCCATGTATGTGGATGAACCAAAAGTGGAAAAAATTGGCTCATTTGTTGTCGAGTCTCCTGACACGTCACTTGGAATGGACCGTGTGATCGATCTAGAAATAAAGTTTGGCTTCACAGAAATGACAGCAACAGGCACTGACAGAGAGTCTGGATCAGTTCACACAGTCAAGCTAAACTTCATGACAAATTAATTATGATATACAAACAAGAACAAAAAGTAAGATAAAATAATAAGATGCACAGTACAAAATTGTAGCCAGTGTGCCTTGACCACATTTTAATATTTAAGTACAGTAAAAAATTCCTTCAAATAAATCCCTGTAGTTTCCTCCACCCTAAAATGGCAAAGCGGTAACAGTTCAGAAGAAAAAAGTGAGAAATGTTACAGTAGCTAATGAACCAAGGTGGTGTTTCAGAATATTAAGAGTAAAGTTAGCAATTCAATAAGAAAAAATATTCAGGCTACAATATCTTCCAGAGATGTTACATTGGTTTTCTTTGTTCTGCTTTATGAATGAATACACTTGAATATCATCAGCATATACATGCTGGAGACTGTAAAGAAAGAAGCAACATGCAAACTAATGTAAAGAATGTTATAACATTTAATCCATGGTGTCTTTTTGATTTTTATTTATATTTCTCTTCATGTATTTAATGAAATGTAAAATAATTCAGCAGCCATATAATTTATACTTTCTGCCACTTTTCTCCTTTTTAAAAAACTGAACAGTATCTTTGAATATTCTCCTGGAAGGTTGCTGGTTATTGTACTTCAGAAATATAACATTGCTTTGATCTTCTTTTCATATCAAGCAAAAATAAAAACCTAAATATATGTTTTCCCAATTGTGTATTTTTTTCTGTCTTTGAATAAAAACAAAGTCACAGTTTGGAGTTCATGATCCCATCACCTTGGAGTTCCATTGTCACATTTAGTTTTGGTTTTATTCTTTATCTTTAGTTTGCCTGGTAATTTTCTGTGTTCCTTGAAGTGAATTCCTGTTGAGTCATTTTCTATAAGCTCCTCAACTCATGCAGTCATTCTCATTCTGATGTTAAGAAACAACAGAGGTCAGTGTTAGAATAATTATATTTTGTTATCATTCTTACATTGGTAGCTATAAAAGATTTATTATTCACATCCCTGAGAAAAGCTCTCATACTTGTTAGACTTTGGAGCTGCAGCTGTGTACAGACCTTGAAGCTGCAGCCACTTGTATCTTTGGGATACTCCTATCTGCCTCCCTCCACATTCCTTTTCTACTTTGTAATAAAAGATAAAGCCCTAACTAAGGGTCTTCAGAGCGCTCAGTGAACGGCTGGAAGCAGCGGTTTGCTGGGATCTCTCCTTTTGCAAAAGCTTTCATAAAATTCACTTGCGTTGTCTGTTTGTTCTTCTATTTAGATTCACAAATACCTATCATTTTGGTGCTGTGACCCGGATCTCTCGTTTTGTTCGCTGACAGATGAAGAACGACGCGCTGAAACCGTGCACGGCCAGAGTCATTAGGACTTGGAGAGAAAGACCCGGGAAGTGAATTCTTTGCCAGGCCAGCGCCTTAGGTTCGACTTTGTCTGCCAGCGACGGGACTGCCGAGATCCGACCGGACAGAACGAGCCGACAGAAAGCGTAAGTGAAACAATTGATATATTGCAGTTGATGTTTATCAGCTAAAAGGTTGGAGGCCTTGTCAGAACAACTTGACTAAATTCCAAAGGGTTGGAGGCCCAGCTGATGTTTTTCAGCTAAATTCCGAGGTTGGAAGCCTTGTCAGAACACCTTGACTAAATTCCGAAAGGTTGTAGAATCCCTGTTGTCTCAACTAAAATCTACAAGAGAGGTGTTTTTAGAGCCCCTCTTTTAATGAGGACTTCCCATAAGGAAGAATCCTCGCACTGATAGGAAATTGTTTGTTGCTGCGATTTTTATTGCTGTGTCATTGCTGCCGTGCTGTGTGTGTTTGTGTGTGTGTGTGTGCATGCAAGAGCGAGTGGTGCTCATCTCTCTCTGTGAGTAAAACTTTCTGTCCTCGGAATTAGAATCCTAAGTGAAGAACCGGACTGAGGCTAGTCTCAGTCTAGAAGCCTGTTCTTCATGGGACACTAAGCGCTGACCTCCAGCACTTACTTGAGAGAGCACAAAATATCAAGTCATTTCTAAAGCTAAATTGCAGAGTATTTAAATAATGGGAAATAAAAATTAATAAAAAGAGAAAGAAAGGAGGAAGAACCGAAATGTGCTAAACAAATTAGGAAAAACAAAGACAAAAGGAGTAAAAGTGAGGAAGCCACTACTTTGTTTGTAAAGCCAGAAGATAACGAGCCCATACTAGGTGCAATGCAGGCCCCTCCTCCGTGCGCACAGGCAGCGCTCCCCTTGGATCCTCCAACTCTCACTCCTGCAAAATCACCACCAGCTGAGCTGACCACAGATCCACTGTCAGTTCTCACTCCAAATACACTTTTCCCATCCCTTCCTGTCTACTGGCATCGCTATATGAGAAGGAAGGCGCAGGTCCCCGTAATCAGGGACATTCATATAATCTCAGGCAGTACAAACAGCCAAAAGTTTTGAACAGTTTTGACGGTACAGAACAATATCCAATGATCCAGGTCCCAAACCCAAATCCTAGAGATGGCCAGTCACCACACATTTATGTTTTTAGACCCTGGACTTTAGAAGAGGCCAGGAAGGCTGTGGAAGGAATAACGCATGTTGCAGAGGACCCCGATAAGTGGATAGAAGACATGGCTGGATTAATTCACTCATGCAGACTAAATGGGGTATAAGTAGGTTGAAGCAGCCATGTCCTCATTAGGGAAAAATTGGGCAAAAGTAAGGGGAAATTATACAGGGAAAGCAACAGATGACAACAAATTTTTTTCTTCTTTTTTTTCAATGTATTGATTACTTGGTAGAACAATTACAAAAGAAAATGACACCAACTTTGGTGCTGTGATCCTCTGGCTGTATGTTTGGGGGGTCAGCGATCAGAGTTTTGGTACCGACCTGGACATTATCCAGCCTCTTATCTCACTTAGGCTTAAAATGAGAAGAGGGCTGCTCGCTGACTTCACACCTCAGCATTAGGATCAACAAACTTAAAGTAATTCATTGATCTCTGATGTTTTCTCAGACTAAGTTAACTTAAACTTAAATTAACTTACATTCTACATTAAACTCTAACATGGCAAAGGACAAAAGAGACTATGGGTTTAACATGTTTCATTTTTATATGTGTTCGAATAAGTTAATGACTCATAACTTTTAAATAAAATGTTGGTTAATAAGTGGCTAAAATTATATAATCTAAAGAGAGAAAAGAGATATAAATATGAAATATATATATATATATACAGATATATATTTAGAAATAAAAAAAACAGAAAGAAAGACAAACTCTAATTGACTCCTATTTGCTTCTTTCTTTTTCCTCTGTCTGAGCCTCGCTGCGGTGCGTCTGACCTCTGACTTCAACTCAAACCTGTCTTACCATGGCCGAGATGATGTCCCTCCCCCCTCACCAGCTAATGACAGCGATCAAGAAGACAAAGAAGATCAGAAAGACAAAGAAGAGATCTGCTGATCCTAATTTTCTGACACCTGGGAACTGTCATTGAGCAACTACTGCATGGAGTCCTGCTGGACATTTGGTCTGAAACTACATTCCTGTGTTTGGGTGCAACTGAACTCTTACAACCTACGCTGGTCTTCTCCCTGACATCAGCCTGGAGAAGGAAGAATAATGTGCTTGAGAGACAACAAACTGAACTGTTTGACCCTTGTTTCATTTGTGGACAGCATGGACATTGAGTGAGGGACAGTCTGGGCAACTCAAAGATCCAATACAGAACCAGTTGGACTGACAGGAAACTGCAGAGAGAGAGGAGGGAGAGGACCACGCTGCAGCGACGCCAGCAGCAGGAGGAGGAGGAGAAGTGAGCTCATCCAAGATAAGTGTTATACACATACACAACTGTTATACACTGCTACTGCAATGAAGACTTGCTTGCTTTATAACCCTGTTCACATATTATCTAGCCAGAAAAGAAAGTCTTAACAGCTTTTATGTTCAATGATAGACAAATTCTCTCAGTTTGTCCCTTTTAACTCTGAGTCCTGAACAGCAGGACCACTGCTAAGGATCCTCTTAGGGTCCATGAGCCACAGGTTGGGAAACCGTGAAGGGAAAACTGCAATCGCTAAAAGATCAGCAAAGAACTAACGGAAATTATGCCACTAAATTACACCAGCTAAAAATGATCAAAGATTCCAAGCTAATAATTATTTACAAGTTTTCTTTTTCTTTTTTTTTAGGACTATCTTGATAATACATGCTAGAGTGGATTTAAAATTAAATATTTCTGAATGTTAATAAATAAATAAATAAATAAACAAATAAATAAATAAGAAATAAATGAAATAATATTAATTGCAGTTAAATTGAACAGTTATCAAAGTGCATTTTATTAAAATAGGTGAAGTGTTTCAGCAGCAGGAAATTCAGTTGTGGCTGGTTTCCAACACGTCTGAGATAGCTCTTAAAATGTATACATTACTTAAAAGAAGATTCTGACAACTAAAGATAAATATGAACACATTAAAAATGTTAACAAATAAAAATTTTTTTTGAAGCTTCAGAAAATTGTATAATCATTTGAGCAAAGGAAAACAATGAAAGCAGACTATAATTTTGTGGCTGAAAATCTGATTAATTTTTATGTTTTTGTTTGTGTCACATTAAGTTGATGGAAATAAGTGTGATTATAGGAACAAATTGCACTAAAGAACTGAGTAACTGATCAAATTATAATTTAAATCATAAAAATTACATTGCCAACTGGTCTGAAATGCAAGGTTACATTAAATTGTGATATTTTATCTAACTAGTTACTCCAAATTGATGTTTGTGAATGAACATAATGTTTTCTAGATAACGCCTAAAACCTTTAATCCAAGGTTGATTGATTGATGATGTTCTGCAGCAGAGCCAACTCTGGGTTGTGCCATCTGTCAGGAGTAAAACAAAAGTGCTTCACCTTCATGAATTTGATAACATCCATATGTAAGATTTTTACAAAATGCCTCTTTGCTAACAGCTATCCTTCAAGCATTATAACTGTCAGCTAAAACTAGCAGGGTGCAAAATGAATGATGAGGAAATTTTTCAAGTCAATAACAAACCAGTTCTCCCAAACTCTTTATTTAAAGCAGCCGCAATTGTGGGACATGGGTCAACAGGGGGAATGGTGGGGATAATACTAAAGTATTTCACAACATATGGACTAAATTCTTATTTAAAAATTTTTGTTCTGCATAGTTTGTGTTAGACACAATCCACAAGGGAACACAAGGCCAAAAAGAGGAAGTTTCCCAAAACCTTCTTATCCATTTCAAAAAATGCAAACAAATATTGTTTGCTAATTATTGATGCTTTTTCTAAATGGGTTGAAATAGTTCTAGCAAGGCATCCAGATGCTTTGACAGTAGCTAAAGCTATATGTAAAACTATTATTCCAATACCACAAACCATTTATACTGAAAGTAGATTAAAGAAAATGTATGGAACACCGTGGTTAAAATGTTTAGATTTGGTAAAGTTGTACATGAGAATTACACCCACACAAGAAGGATCAACACCATTTGAAATAATTCATGGAAGACCATACAGATTACCAATATTTTCTCCAGGTTTGCAACATGCAGATGAGGAGCAAACACTGGCAGATTACATGATCAGGACTCTGAAACAGAAGGTGTCAAATGCAAATTTACTGCCCTCTGACTCTCCTCTCCCACAGGAAAACACTCCCACCAAG